CTATAGAAGTGAAGGGTCGGAGTATATCCAATCTATAGAAGTGAAGGGTCGGAGTATATCCAACCTTTAGAAGTGAAGGGTCGGAGTATATCCAATCTATAGAAGTGAAGGGTTGGAGTTTATCCAATCTATAGAAGTGTAGGGTCGGAGTATATCCAACTTATAGAAGTGAAGGGTCGGAGTATATCCAATCTATAGAAGTGAAGGGTTGGAGTATATCCAATCTATAGAAGTGAAGTGTCGGAGTATATCCAACCTATAGAAGTGTAGGGTCGGAGTATATCCAATCTATAGAAGTGTAGGGTCGGAGTATATCCAATCTATAGAAGTGAAGTGTCGGAGTATATCCAACCTATAGAAGTGTAGGGTGGAGTATATCCAATCTATAGAAGTGTAGGGTCGGAGTATATCCAACCTATAGAAGTGTAGGGTCGGAGTATATCCAATCTATAGAAGTGTAGGGTTGGAGTATTTCCAACCTATAGTTGTGAGGGGTCGGCGTATATCCAACCTATAGAAGTGTAGGGTCGGAGTATATCCAACCTATAGAAGTGAAGGTTTATATCCAATCTATAGAAGTGTAGGGTCGGAGTATATCCAATCTATAGAAGTGTAGGGTCGGAGTATATCCAACCTATAGAAGTGAAGGGTCGGAGTTTACAATAATATAACATGGCGTGCGGTCCTGATTAATTTTCCTAATATATTTTTGATTGGCTTATGAATTGCCATTTTATATTCTCTTCATCAAAGGTCGATCCTTCCCTTTTTTTCAGTTGTTAGGGGCGCGCTATTTTTGTAACTAGATTATTAAGATTTATCGTGTTGGTTGTTTATAATGTTTATTAGCTCAGTTTAGATAATATCTTATATTAAACTCTGCTCAAACCTATACAAGGCTTGGACATACACCCGGAGATTTAAACTATACCGAACCTAAACCTTTAAACTGATTATGGACCTAAACATTAAATACAAACCTAAACCTTCAATCTGAGTTTAAAAGCTAAACCTAAACATTCTTCCTGAACTTAAACCTAAACCTTCCATCTGAACCTAAACATTAAACATAAATTTTAAACCTGACCCTAAACTTTCTTCTTCAACCTAAACGGAAACCCTCAATCTGAATCGAAACTATAAACAAACTTAACCCTTAAACTAACCTTTAAACCAGAACTTTAAACCTAAAATTCAAATCAATACCTTCATTCTATATAAATCTAAAATCTAATTTGAACCTAAACCTTAAACCTGAACCTCTCCATCCAGCATCCTATCCATTCTATCCATTCTATCAATCCTATCCATTCTATCCATACCCCAATTCAATCCTTCCTATCAATACAATCCATCCTTATCTCATCCATCCCATTTTTGCCCCCATTATTTTCACCCAAACCATGCCCCATCTAATCCATCCTTCTCTCATCCATCCCGTTCTTACGCACATCTATACTCTCATTATTTCCATCCAAACCATGCCATTCAGTCCATCCTTCTCTCATTCTATCCTTCTCTCATCCACCCAGTTCTTACGTACATATATACCCTTATTTTTTTAATCCAAACCATGCCCCATAAAATCCATCCTTCCCCATCCATCTAATCCTTCTTCATCCATCCCCCTTCCTCATCCATCCCATTCTTCTCCTCATCCATCCTTCTTCATCCTATTAAACCCCAGCATCCTGGTGTTTTTTTACAAATTATTTTGTATTTTCAGACATGCAACATTGTAACATCCTTAAGCTAGAGAATAAAATACTAATCGCCGTTAAATTGAAGTGAATTTAAGACATGTTGAATGTTGATGGCGTTAACAGATGTATGAAGTAAACTAATTTTATGCGCAGAATAATTCAAGATAACAATGTAATTTTGGTACGATGAATGAAAGATAGAGGGTTCAAGTATGGAGTGTACAGCTTGTTAAATTCTTAAAAGAGATGGGAGGGGCTGTGGGGGAGGGGGCTGTTCTTTGGGTGGGTGTGGTTTAATTAGATGCTATTTTTACTAATTATAAAGTATGTTTCAGAATCCCTCCGGCCACGAATACAATTAAGATAAAATGTCGCGTCGAGCTAGCGTCTTTGCGCGCCAGAACCCAGGGCGGCGCCGCGTACGATTCCCAGATGAGATCGTCTTCGAAGAGAGCATTAAGGTAAGCGCCATTTTTTATTCTCTACAAAAAATGCGGGAAAAATAAACACAACAAATCTTTTCATGTTAATTCTGATTTGAATATAGCCCATATTACAATTGAAAATGTTATGAAAATACTGCAGTGGGTTGAAAATGATTATGCAGAAACTAGTCTGATCGAACATGAATCTATGCATTTTAAATATTTACAATGAAATGCATACAAATATAGGAATATGAGGATTGAGGACTGCAAAATGAATGAAAATGTTGACAATGTAAAATGTTAATACTACCTCCAATTAAAGTACATTATACTGCGAAATTGTGTTTACGTTAAAGTAGGTCTAAACTACAGGGTCACGCACACAGGATCAGGGGCGGATACAGAATTTAAATGAGGGGGTTGGGAGATTTATTTCGGAACATAAATCCCGATTTAGGAACAAAAAGATATATCTTTCCTGTTTTGTACTAGGTTTTCTTTCCCTCAAGAGCTATTGAGAAGCTATTCGGAAATCTCAGGGGGGTGCAAAGGTCCTGCCGCCCCCCCTGTATCCACCCTTGCACATGATTAGGCTGTATAAAGACTACATGAAACTCTTTAAATATTACGATTCCCAGGTCGAATTAAGTCTTCTGTCTTAAATAAGTCTGTAAATGGCAATTTTAAAATGATTTGCCAAAGAGACAAGTTTACAATTGGAAGGAATCGGAAGAAAAAAGGCAATTTCAATTTGATAATTCGTCTCTTCGAAGTCTCATCCTTTGTGGGTAACCCTCTATTTGATTACAAATAAACAAAAAATAATATTTTACACTTTACACTTTACACTGTATTCAGTAAACTTTCCTACAGTTACACAGTACATTGTACAGTGTACACTTCACTGTACATGTACAGTGTACACTTCACTGTACATGTGCAGTGTACACTTCACTGTACATGTACAGTGTACACTTCACTGTACATGTACAGTGTACACTTCACTGTACATGTGCAGAGCCGTCATGAGCCCTGCCAAATGATCTCCCAGTCTCTGGATTCGCAGATGAGTAATTAAATGACTTGGCGCTACTCCTTTCTTTCAGAATAGATAATGGAAGTAATGTAAAAGAAATTTATAAAACATATTTAATATTTAATAGTTATGTACATTTTTTTTGGATATTCAAGAAAACACTGGATAAATATTGGGAGAATACATATTTTCTTTAAAATATGTTATTTATTCCTTTTATAATACCTACTCTAACGTTTAGGGGTAGCGCCAAGTCATTTTAAGTACTCATCTGCGAATGCAGAGGCTTGGAGACCATTTTGCGGGGCGCATGGCGGCCCTGCACCCCCTTCCTTGTTCAGGAGAGTGACGGGGAAGTGATCATGAAAATGTTACGACGAGCCTCTGTAGATATTGATGTGGACAGAATTAATATGGCAGGGATGACAGCTCTCCATCAGGTGGTCAACTTTAAACTTTATAAACTTTAAACTTTAATCTTCATATTTTTAACTTTAAACTTTAAAACTGCTTTAACTTTAAACTTTTCAAATACCGTGATTTTAGAATTTCAGAATAATATTCTTGTTTTAAATCATGTGAAAATATCAGACCAAACATTTTCAAATCATTTTGATCGAATCAAATGCACTCTCTCGTTCTCGCACCTATATGTTGGCAATGCTATAGTTATATTCATGTATCATATACAATATCATATACAATACATTTATATATATGATATAATAAATATATAACGTATAATACACAAAAGCTTTTCTTGAAATTTAACCCGTCACCCTGTTAAAACAAGATTGTTTTGCCTAAAAAATGCAGTTAAGACAATAGTAGGCTTAGTAACATTTTTTCTTGCAAAATCTCGAGTTCGTTTTTTTTGCCTATCTGATCAGTACATTGTTTAGCATATGCAGAACTAGGACTAGATAGATAGATAGATCTAGGACTGGGCGCATTTTCGTTGGAAAACAAAATCTTCTTTGAAATTAACGAACAAATCTTAAATCATAAAAACGTAAAATGGTTAAATTGATAATTCATAATGAACGTAAATAAAACTTTTTATTAAAATTTTTAACAAAAAATCTCGTATATTTTATGGCTAAATAAAAGTTGATTGAATTAAAGAAAAAAAAACATTTATTTAATGGTAGAACCATGGTAGAACTGATAAACGAAGTTCTATTGAATGATTAATAACAAAAAATCGTTAGTAGCAGCACACAAAAATAGTCGTCAAAAACCAACGTTTCAGTCCGCTTTAAAAGTAAATATTCCGAGCCGGTAATGTCCAGTCTGGACTACCCTGTGTAAAGTCGACCCTGCACGTTTCATGCAACAAATGGAACCTGGCAAGCACCAGTAGTTTAGCTAACCCTATTAAGACTGACGTCTGGTTTACCAAAAATAGACTGGGGGGGGGGGTCCCAGGGATCCCCCTCTATTTCCTTATTCTGATACAAATATATAACATTTGATACACTTTTGGAGAGCCATTGGACTCTACTTTAATAATCTCCAAAATTAATGTATGCAAAATATTTGCAAAATTTTCAAAAAACTAAATTTGTATCCAATTGGAAAATTTAAACTGTGCAAATCATCTTCAAATGCATATGTGCTTTTATCTATGAAAAATTTCTTCGCAAAATTGTGCAAACTGCTTCCTTTTATTTAAGGCTTTCCAAAGAGCTATTAAATGTCAAAATCCAATACCACAATTAGGTCTAAATATAAATTTAGTCTGGTAAAGATGAAATAAAGCTTTCAGGCAGTATGCCTGATGACTCAGGCAGTAGGTATAAAAGCCCGCTTTTTGTCCAAAGTATACGTTAGTTAGAAAATAAAAAACATTTGAACAGTCTCTAACCAAAACTTTTCAAGTTATTTCCAAAAAACGTCAGAGGTTGACATCACCGTTAAAACGTAAACGGATAGCAAAAAAGTATAAAAGTGCCCAGCCCTATTTAGATGTCAGCATGATTGAGGGTTTATAGTTTTCTAGATGCATTTTCCACACCACTGCATTTACTAACTGCATTTCACTCACTCGTAAATTGGCATTAAAGTATTTGAGATTTGAATTTAAATATTCTATATCTAAACGTATTTTAAATATGTTTTATAAGCTTAATCAAGAGTTGAGAGTAAAATTACCTCATAGTGCTTCCTGGTCAGACTTGATCAATCTTAATTAATCTTAATCAAATACAATTTTACATTATTGTGTTGTTGCTTTGATGTGGGATAGTTACTATGGTTTGATGCGGTATAGTTACTATGGTTTGATGTGGGATAATTACTATGGTTTGATGTGGGATAGTTACTATGGTTTGATGTGGGATAGTTACTATGGTTTGATGTGGTATAGTTACTATGGTTTGATGTGGTATAGTTACTATGGTTTGATGTGGGATAGTTACGATGGTTTTGTGTGGGATAGTTACTATGGTTTGGTGTGGGATAGTTACTATGGTTTGGTGTGGTATAGTTACTATGGTTTGGTGTGGTAAAGTTACTGTGGTTTGGTGCGGTATAGTTACAATGGTTTGGTGTGGTATAAGTAACTATGGTTAAGTGGGGCATAGTTACTATGGTTTGGTGTGGTATAGTTGCTATGGTTTGGTGTGGTATAGTTGCTATGGTTTGGTGTGGTATAGTTACTATGGTTTGGTGCGGTAAAGTTACTGCGGTCTGGTGCGGTATAGTTACTATGGTTTGGTGTGGAAAAGTTACTATGGTTTGGTGTAATATAGTTACTATGGTTTGGTGTGGTACAGTTACTATGGTTTGGTGTGGTATAGTTACTATGGTTTGGTGTGGTATAGTTACTATGGTTTGGTGTGGGTTAAATTTTCAATTTATATTCAATCAAATTCTTGAATTTACGCGTGTAAGGGTGATACAAACTATGCATACTGTTTAGATGTTCAGATAGATAGATAGATTGATAAACAGATAAACAGATAGATAGATAGATAGATATAAAGATAGATAGATAGATAGATAGATAGATAGATAGATAGATAGATAGATAGATAGATAGATAGATAGATAGACAGTTAGACAATTTTCATAGATAGATAGATAGATAGATAGATATATAGATATAAAGATAGATAGATAGATAGATAGATAGATAGATAGATAGATAGATAGATAGATAGATAGATAGATAGATAGATAGATAGATAGATAGATATATATATAGACGAATTAATAGATAGATAGATAGACAGTTAGACAATTTTCATAGATAGATAGATAGATAGATAGATATATAGATATAAAGATAGATAGATAGATAGATAGATAGAAAGATAGACAAGGATGGGGCAGGGGTATGAACTATGACCTAGGCTCCGTGGAACATGATTAAACTTCATCGTTTTTAAATAGATGTTCTAGTATTCCAGATTCATGATAGATAGATAGATAAACATATAGATAGACAGGATAGATAGATAAATACATAGAAAGATAGACAGGTAGACAGATAAACAGACAAGACATCTCAAATAATGTTACATATTTACAGTAAGAACAAAAAAAACTGTGGAATAAAAATACGACCTTAAAAAGTAATAAAATGTATTTGTTTGTGTTACAAAGCAAGTAGTTTAACTCGTAACATAAATCATTTATATATTGCAATTGGGTTGTTAACACTGCACATTTGCTGTGTTTCATATTCAATTCAGTAAAAAAAAAGTCTTCTTCCTGTGTTCCTGTGTTCTTGTGTTCCTGTGTTCCTGTGTTAAATTTCTGGTTCTTACTGTATTTATCTAGCTATAATACGTATGAAGTTGTGATCTCTGTTTGTCTGTTTTTTGTTTGTACTATCATAACTCAGGAAACCCAGCACCGATTTGCCTCAACTTTTGATTAGGAAACTCGGGAGAACCATGGGAATGTTCTTAGCTTGGTTTTGTGATTCTAAATTGAGTGGGTCGACTTAAATATAGAAAATTAAATTTTCTGGTAAAATCGTTCAAGTTCGGGTAAATGGCGGGAGTAACTTTCAATAACCTTGGCAGTGCTGGATTACCACTCTAGTATCTATATATAAAGGTATAATCTCTGTTTGTCTATCTGTCTGTTGGTTTGTCCGATCATAACTCAGTTATTTCTGGACCGATTTGCCTTAAATGTCTATTTTGGAACTCATGATACTTTTTTGAGATTCTAAGTTTAATGGGTCGACTTTAAAAGCGAAAATTCAGTTTCCTGGTAAAATCGTCCAAGGGCGGGTAAACGGCGGGAGTCACTTTTGGCAGCGCTAGCTAGGTTCCCAAGCTAGTATATATATACTATGTATAATCAGAATGGTAGATATATAGATAAGATAAGATAAGATAAGATAAAGTTTATTGCTAAAATAAATGTATCTGTATACAGATAGAGTTTACAATCACAAAATTGATGATTATATTAACAGTACAAGTATAAAGCAATTAGGTGGAAAATAGCTCTTGGCTGTTTTGATTATTTTTTCCACCTAATGTTAGTAATAATAACAAAATATTTCAATTAAATAGATTTAAGGAGAACGATTAGAGATCAGGGTGCAAATCTATCATATGCAAAATAGTTAATACACTAATTCGAATAACTAGAGTTTAAAGTAATTTTCTGACATGTACACAACAAATATCAAAGCATATTAAAACATATCTAATTAGTTTTAAATGAATAGCAATTCGGTTTATAACACATTGTCCTATAATTTTCAAAAAGAGAATTTAGTAGTCTATTTTTAAATATACTTAGAGAGTTGCTTCTTTTTAAGTCAAGAGGCAGGTTATTCCACATCTTAAGAAGAGAGCTTGATACTATAGAGATAATACTATATCTGAACAACTGTAGAAAGATAGATAATAAGATATCTAAACAACTGCAGATAGATAGATAATAAGATATCTAGACAACTGTAGAAAGATAGATAATAAGATATCTAGACAACTGTAGATAGGTAGATAATAAGATATCTAGACAACTGTAGATAGATAGATAATAAGATATCTAAACAACTGTAAATAGATAGATAATAGGATATCTAAACAACTGTAGATAGATAGATAATAAGATATCTAAACAACTGTAGATAGATAGATAATAAGATATCTAAACAACTGTATATAGATAGATAATAAGATATCTAGACAACTGTAGATAGACAGATAATAAGATATCTAGACAACTGTAGATAGATAGATAATAAGATATCTAGACAGCTGTAGATAGATAGATAATAAGATATCTAAACAACTGTATATAGATAGATAATAAGATATCTAGACAACTGTAGATAGACAGATAATAAGATATCTAGACAACTGTAGATAGATAGATAATAAGATATCTAAACAACTGTAGATAGATAGATAATTAGATCTCAAATTGACGGGTTTCAGGACATTTTACAAAATTAAAGTCTCATTCAATCTACTCTGAGTTCCTTGGCGGTCTCTTCTTTGAAAATAAAACTCACCCTCTCAAATATATCCAAAGTACTATGAAAAGTTGCAAATATTATAAAGATTGTATTTTAACTCTTTACTCTAAGGTTTTTTTAGAGTGGCGGTAGTTAGCACTCTCTCCNCCCCCCCCCTCCAAGCCAGGTTTGAGTCTGTTTTTTAGTAATTTTTCAATAAACATAAAAATAAATAGTTGAGAAAGATCCAATTTATCCAGCTGGTAACACGATCACATGATGGATTGATTGATTGATTGATATTTCGATATCAAAGATCAATCTATGGCGGGAGATGCATAATTAGCTCCGGGCATTTTCCTCATCCATCTTTATCTGTATATCTTCCTAGTTCTTTAACTATCTATCTATCAGTACCAATATCTAGTCTGCATAATTATCTATCTATCCATCTATCTATCTATCTATCCATCTATCTATATGCCTGGGTAGTATATGAATCAAGGATATTCAGACCCCAGGATTACAACAGTTTAAACACTAGCAGTCAGATATACATCAGTAGATGGACGGTTTTATAGATAGATAGATAGATACATAGATAGATAGATAGATAGATAGGTAGATAAATAGATAGATAGATAGATAGATAGATACATAGATACATAGATAGATAGAAGAAAGCAAGATACTTGTAACACGGCAAACTACAAGGACATCCATTAAAATTCTTTCTTTTTATTTTCAAAATTAGCCGAAGTATGATTGAAGGATGGACCAGCAAGAAAAAAATGAAGAACAAGAAATATTGAAATCTCAAAATATTTCCATCTGAATATTGAAAAATATTGTAAAATTTAAATAAAATAAATTATTAAAGTTAAAATAGATAGAAGGACAGATAGAGGTCACACAGTTGGACCAGCAATGACGCATACATTGGACCTTCTCATTTTGTCTTCTTTATAGTTAGATATTCTATAATATAAAGGACTTCGCTCATATTTATATAATATACCAATTAAGGAAACCTATCAGTACTCTAAGGGTAACATAAACTAAAATTTTTTTTTAATGCTTCCAAATTTGAATTTTTTTCAAAATTCGAAATTTTATTTAAGTTTTACGGGAAACGCCGGGCACTTCAGCTAGTATTTGAATAAAAAAGCTTTGTTCAGGCTGTATTGGATAATAACCTTGTAGTGGTGAGAATTCTTATTCATCATGGAGCACAGGTATATTCATTCATTCATTCATTCATCCTTTATATTAGTTTATTCATTTATTCATTAGCTTATTTATTCATCCTATTAGTTTATACATTTATTATACTAGTTTATTCACTTATTATATTAATTATTCATTTATTATATTAATTATTCATTTATTAAATTAGTTTATTCATTCATTATATTAGTTTATTTATTCATTATATTAGTTTATACATTTATGATATTAGTTTATACATTTATTATATTAGTTAAAATTAAAAATATGAGGTTTTAAATCTTTTTTATTTATTGTCCGTTCAAAAATTTGTTCATTGTGTGTCTTCTTTTCATAAAATAAAAAAAAAATATTTTCAGAACAAATTTGAATAATTGTGTGAATAATTAAACAAAACATTGACTGCAAAGTTGATTAAAAGGATGAAAAGATGATAAACTGTTGAATAAATAATTGATTGATTGAATACTTGATTAATTGATTTATTGATTGAATGATTGATTGATTAGATTGATAAGATGGATCTGGATAGTTGGACCCCTCTTCATGCTGCTGCAGCTAATGGTCATCATCAGATAGCAAAGTATTATCATCTTCATTGTAATCATTACTATAATCAATTTCATTATTATTATTATAAATACTTTTATAATTTTTTCATTATTGTTATTATTATTGTTATCATTTTCATCATTATTGTTATTATCGCTGTTCTTATTATCATATTCTAAAAATTTTAGTATTATTAATCTTTTTATTATTATTATTAACATTATTTTGTTTTTTCTCCCCTAGGTATTTAATATCCCAAGGAGCGAATAAGAATGCAGTTACAGACGAAGGAGAACGGCCCATTGATCTTGTAGACCCTGGAGATCAGGTAGATTTAGGCATTAGAGCATATATTCAGGCAGTAGGGCATAGATTCAGGCAGAAGGACATAGATTCAGGCAGTAGGACATAGATTCAGACAGTAGGACATAGATTCAGACTGTAGGGCATAGATTCAGGCAGTAGGACATAGATTCAGGCAGTAGGGCATAGATTCAGGCAGTAGGGCATAGATTCAGGCATTAGGGCATAGCTTCAGGCAGTAGGACATAAATTCAGGCAGTAGGACATAGATTTAGGCAGTAGGACATAGGTTCAGACAGTATGACATAGATTTAGGCAGTAGGACATAGATTCAGATAGTATGACATAGATTCAGGCAGTAGGACATAGATTCAGGCAGTAGGACATAGATTTAGGACATAGATTCAGGCAGTAGGACATAGATTCAGGCAGTAGGACATAGATTCAAGCAGTAGGACATAGATTCAGGCAGTAGGACATAGATTCAAGCATTAGGACCTAGATTCAGGCATCGGAGGGATGGTAATGAACGGACATTAATTACTCCATTGGAGGGATAGTTATAAGTGATGAAGTAATTAGTGTCCTGAGTGTAATTACCATCTCGCCGATGGAGTATTTAGTGTCCTGAGTGTTGATTACCATCCCTCCGGTAGGGTAATTAGTACATTAATCAGATTGTAAACAGTGCAGTACACAGATAAACAACATTGTAAAAAGGGGCAACCAGTACCCATGGATTAATATTTACTGTAATTGTAAAATGTATAATAAATTAAACAACAGGCATTGGGTCGGATATTATGACAAAAACTCAAGCAGAAGTAGGCATAGATGTAGACAGTAGTGGTCTATAGATTAGCGAAAACTAAAGTTTAGGCGACAATCTAAAACCAACTCAATCAAGTTCAAAAGAAGAAGTGGAGCAGAGCACCCTGAATGTCAAGTTAACCATTAACCATTTATTTNCCTCGTAACCTTTTAATCCAACCTAAAAATAATGATGTAATCGCTATAATAATGAATAGTTTGGGATGAAAAATATACAATCTAATTCAATTACATTATGATAGGCTCCAATCTACAGATTCGGTTCTAGGGACTACTCAAGATTTTCATGAAAAGTGGTTTAATATGTTGTTCATCCAAACGAAAACGTGTTCAGACTCTTTTTTCCATAAAAGTTTTTGCAAATGTCTATCTTGGCATCCTTTATAGTCTGCAATCCTAGCTCTAGATAGATAGGTAGGTTTATATAGTAGATAGATAGAAAGATAGATAGATAGATAGATAGATAGAAAGATAGATAGATAGATAGATAGATAGATAGATAGATAGATAGATAGATAGATAGATAGATAGAAAGATAGATAGATAGATAGATAGATAGAAAGATAGATAGATAGATAGATAGATAGTAGAAGCATATGATAGATAGATAGATAGATAGATAGATAGATACATAGATAGATAGATAGATAGATAGATAGATAGGTAGAAAGATAGATAGATAGATAGATAGATAGATAGATAGATAGATAGATAGATAGATAGATAGATAGATAGATAGATAGATAGATAGTAGAAGCATATGATAGATTACATATTCTAAATTTGGTCTGACAAACTGAATTAAAGAGTTGGTGAGGTAGAAAAACATGAAGAAAACCTAGCTGATAATACCTCCATTGGATTCATAAACAAATAGATAGCTTAGATATCTATAATATAGTGGATATATAATATATAGCTACAATCTAGTAGATATATAATAGGTAACTATAATCTAGTAGATATATAATAAATAGGTACAATCTAGTAGATATATAATATATAGCTATTATCTAGCAAATATATAATAGATAGCTGCAATCTAGTAGATATACAATATATAGCTATAATCTAGTAGATATATAATATATAGCTACAATTTAGTAGATATATAATAGGTAACTATAATCTAGTAGATATATAATAAATAGCTACAATCTAGTAGATATATAATATATAGCTATTATCTAGCAAATATGTAATAGATAGCTGCAATGTAGTAGATATACAATATATAGCTATAATCTAGTAGATATATAATAAATAGCTACAATCTAGCAAATATGTAATAGATAGCTGCAATCTAGTAGATATACAATATATAGCTATAATCTAGTAGATATATAATAAATAGCTACAATCTAGTAGATATATAAAATATAGCTATTATCTAGAAAAAATATATAATAGATAGCTACAATCTAGTAGATATACAATATATAGCTATAATCTAGTAGATATATAATAAATAGCTACAATCTAGTAGATATATAATATATAGCTATTATCTAGCAAATATATAATAGATAGCTACAATCTAGTAGATATACAATATATAGCTAGAATCAAGTAGATATATATAATAGATAGTTATAGAAAGTTACAATCTAGTAGGTATATAATAGATAGCTATTTTATTTTTATTATTGTTCATGGGTTCAGTGTCAGCAGCTGAGATATTGTATTAAGGAACAAATAATGAGCTAAACTTCCTTGCAACAAACCAGAAATATCAGACAGAATCAAAAAAGAAGCCGAGATTAGCACAATTCTGAACCGATAAATAAATAAGAAAAATGAACTGACTAATCCCAAAGTGGGAAAAATTGGAATACTATTAAAATAATATTGTACAAGATTGTAATTATCTTTTATAAAAACCTTTATAAAATTTCAAAAAAATAAATTGTTAATAAAATATAATAGATAGCTACGATAGTTACAATTTAGTAATTATATATAATAGATAGCTATAGATAGTTACAATTTAGTAATTATATATAATATATAGCTATAGATAGTTACAATTTAGTAATTATATATAATAGATAGCTATAGATAGTTACAATTTAGTAATTATATATAATATATAGCTATAGATAGTTACAATTCAGTAATTATATATAATATATAGCTATGAATAGTTACGATTTAAAGCAAAGACTAATGGAGTCTTTACTTTAGATCGTAACTTTCAAATTAGGACCTTTAGTTTACCGTGAACTGTACGATACAAGTTTGACTGGCTCGACATACTACACTTTTCCCATGTTTAGATTTCCCTGGATATTCTATTGGAGGAAGAAGATAGAGGGGAGAGGGATAGGAGAATGTCCATAGGTAATATTTTAGTAAAACACTTTATACCCCCCCCTGGGCCCTAGCCCCCTTCCTCTCACTCAAAAAAATGAGCAACTACAATTAAATTGTGGGTTTAACACTTTTGACTTTCAATTTGCACATCTTTAATTTAATTCTTTGCTAGCTAAAACATAATTAGTGTGAACTCTACTTATTTTCTGTACTCCAAGCCTCCAAGTTTATTTTGTACTTTACCTGGTTTAAAATTAAACTGCATTCTTCTTGAGAAGTTTAATTACTGGACTGACAGCAGTGACAGCAGGATGACAGCTGACAGCTATAGTATTAAGATTGGACTACACCCAACTAAAGATGGGCATTGGTTTCTGGTTTCCTTAAAAAGAATTTTTTGTTCTGTGAAGATTCATCAGAGGTTGGTTCTTTTGGAGTACCGTTAATCTTGAACATTGATCTAAATATACAATTCGGACATTTCGAGGATTAAAGGTTTCCCTGCGGGGAATGACCACCACTGGATATATTGAACAGGATTTAAATCCGTAGGAAGGAGATAAATACTTGATCCTGAGATTCACAAAACAAAAGTTTTAATTTCCGAACAATTAAACAATCTTTTATCTTTCGTTTTGGCCTTATTTTAGAAACTCTTTTAAGAAACCTTAAACCCATGCCAATGCCCATGTCTACTCCCCATCGTCATTTCAATATGTGCAATTCTATTCACAGTGTGCAAATCTTACCAAGGTTTGCAAAAATACATCAGACAAAATGGGCGCAACTTCAGGGTTATTAAGGGGAGGGGGATTTAAAATTTTGTTGGAAAACTGGCATACTGGCTTATTTTAATTTAGAAATAATAAAAAATATTTTCACAATAAAAATATATTTCGTTAAAACATTTCAATTGATTTATTATGGTTGAATTAATTTATGGCCTAATTTGCGGCTACACGCCCGAGTTAATTCATTATTTTCTTGGAAAGAATGGTTGCAAGGCCCGATTTACAACGATACTCAATTAAAACCTAAATATGATCAAAAATGTGTAAGATACCGTCGTTATTCTGACTTGCAAGTGATTATTTCTGTGAGCTTCTCCATTGCCTTTTGTAAACAAGAAATGCAAATAAAAACAAATTTTGCCTACAGTACCTTAAATATGGATGAACAAAATACTGTCATGTTCAATTCACAACTGTACTCTATAAATATCTATTCAAGAAATATTAAGGAAGATATCAATTTACAAAATATGAATATCATCAAACTAAGACTGTGGAGAATCGTTTAAAATAACAGAAACAGCCCATTTAATTTAACGTAAAAAAACTATGGTTATTTAGTTAAACTCGTAAATTAAATAAATTATAAACTTTGCAACAAATTTTAGACTTCAAGATAGAATTTAATTGGAATAAATCTAAAAATTCGATTTTTAAAAATGTATTTTTTCAGCTTTTGAAAGAGGAGAACCTGCTTGGTACAGACGAGAGAGCGTCAGGCTAATAAACATGATTCATCAAAAATGGTTTTTAAACCTAAAAAGATTTTAATTAACATTTCCCCTTTAAATAATCTGATAATCTCATTCAATAGATTCTAATCTTTTAGAATAATTCCAAAAATGTCCAGTTTTAAACAACCTTGTGATTCTTCTCTAGATGATGTGGCACGAAACACCTGAAATTATAAGCTATTTAAGAACATGATTATCTTTTTATCCCGTTATAGGGTTCTAAATTGTTTTGATGCCGGGGTTACGAACTATAGAATTGATTGTTGAATTTATTAGTGTACACGGTAATTAGGCCCCTCATTAGCCAGTAATTACCGGTAATTAATTACCCCAACATATCATGCTTAATATACCAATACAGGGAGGACCTCAGGAGAGAGAGTTTTAATGTTATCAGGTAGGATACAAGGATCATTTTAAAAATATGGAAGGAGGTCAGCCCCTTACCCCCCCCCCCCCCCCCCAAAAAAAAAAAAGAGATTGTAAGCGTAAGATGACTATGCCTGTTTTACTCCTTTATCTGATCAATAATGTGGAAGAAAATGTCGATTTTCTAGGAATTATTGTATTTAATTCTGAAAATTCATTATATATGTTTACCTGCAGTTAAAATGCGCAAGTCACTTTTGCAAAGAAACCACAATTGAAAATAATCGGTTTTCAAAATAATAAACATAGATATCTAATTCACATATGATCTGACAAAGCTTTTAAGGGTACAACGGTTCATCAGGCATTGCTATCTTTTCATGGAGGGTCACTTGAAATTACATGCACAGTCCCTTTAACTAAAATAATAAAATTGCTCATATTTTAGAGGAAGAAAGGGCTCTATGTGGAACCCCAACGCTGTGGACGAGGAGGATGAAGAGGATGAGGAGGATGAAGATGACGAGGATGAGGATAGTTCAGAAGATGCAGAAGATGCTGATTTGAAGGATCAAAATGAATCTTGTTTAAAATCTTCCACTGTTGGGCCGAGCCTCTCCAGTCCGACCAATTTAACGAACACTAACCCTTCTCGTTCTTTGTCTAAAACTCCGGTGAATTTTTCCTTAACTTCAAATAAAAAAGAAAGTTCCTCCAAAGAGAAATTACAGTTTAATGTGACTACGTCCCAGATGGGGAAAATGACTGTGACGACTCCACCTATGGGGAAAAAGAATATTTCCCCCTTGTTGACAAATAAATCCTATTTTGGTTCGGACAGACCGCGGCCATCTTTGATGGAAAAACACGTGTCCAAGAAATCCGCGGAAAGAACCGGTTCTCAGACTTCCTCTGTGTTGGACAGAATCACGCGTTTTTCACAGGAGAAAAAAGATGGCGCTGAAAGCACAAATTCCTCTAAAAAAAGGCAATCAGTAGAGCAGCAGAGTCGGTCTATTTTGCAACAAACTGTTTCTAGATCTTTTAGTCCATCCAGTTCCTTAAAATCTCCAGGGTTGATAAAACCAATCACATCGTTTCCATCCAAATCTGTTAATTCACATTCAACTTCCTCAAGTTTATCTACCCCCTCCTCACCTTTATCTACCAGATTTAAGTTAAATTCAACCACCAACAAAACCAATGCTGGGTCAAAGACCACATTTAGTTCTAACCCACCGGTGTCAATACCTATAGAGCGGTCAAAACCAGTTTTTCACCAGATACCCCGAACAACATTGACCTCCACTCCGTCAAAGTCTTTGAGTTCGTTGACATGCAAGATGGCAAAGACAGCAGTGGAGGATGAGGTTGGGGATTTATTAGAGAGTTGGAGGAAAAAGAGAACAGAGCGCAGAGAACGTTAACACAGTCTTCATTAAAGGGACTGTAAACACACATTTTGATCAGATTAAGGTTTAAAGGGTACCGTTGTAAATCAGACATTGTTATCTTTTTATGAAGGGTTACTTAAACATTACGCTTACAGTCCCTTTACGTTTACAATGCTATATTTTCACTTTACCATAGACATTACTGTAAAACGTAAATTTAGCAGCGCATATGTTATTGTCCAATTTTCACAGGACAAGTTACACGAAGGACATTGTATTCAGAGAATTTACATTTGAATCCTGTGCATGATTAATTTACATGATATGCTGTTATTTGTCTGTACTCTGTACACAGTACAGGGGAAGCTGTACGTACTGTAATGATATTTATTTTTAGAATTTAAAATGTACTTAACGAACAAAATGTTAGAAACATTTCTAATAGTGCACGTAGAGTTAGGATATGAACTGTAAAACAGAAACTACACATATAAATCAAACATTTTCTTTAATAACCAATGTTTTATATTCTCAAAGTGTAGTTCAGCAGCATTTGCATGTATGGATGAAAAGTTTAAAAATTACAATTTAAGAAGATGTTTAAGTTTATTGTTTTTTTTTCATAAGTAGATAAACATCTTGATATTTTCAATCTATCTTTCTATCCCGGTGAAACTATTGTTCTATTCTGTTCAATTCCATTATATTATATTATCTTAAATTCCATTATATTTTTTTTCATTCCATCATATTCTTCAAATTCCATTCCATTCTATTATTTTCCATTCAATTTTTTTCCATTCCATTCTATTCTTTTTCTTTCCGTTCCATCCCATTCGATCTATCATTTTTCATTCCATTCTATTTTATTCTTTTTCATTTCATTTCATTCTGTTCTTCATCGTTCCATTCCATCTAATTCTAATCCATTTTCTATAATTTTGTGAGAAAAATTACCCTTTTAAATTTTCATCGAAAATTTAAAATTATCTGCCCAGAAAGAAAAGATCAATTTGCGCGAAACTAATAATTTTGATTTTACGCCAAATATTAGAAAATCAAATTTATTTGTTTGCATATTAAAAATTCGCATTTTTTAATTTGTTTAATTAGCTAGAGTAAAAGAGGTATAATTTATACGCTGTTGAAGCATTAAAAATTAATGTTTTAATATGATGAAGGATTGTTTTTATTTTTTGGTTTTGCGTTCGAATATAAAAATATTCTCAATCTTAAATCTTTCGCTGTTAAATTAAAAAAAAACGACATAGGTTTTTGCTATATCAGAGAAATGTCAACAATTCAATGTCCAATATTTTTGTACAAGAAGATTCCACATGCTAAACTCAGAATAGCATAAAAAGTGGATTTTGAAACGTTTAAAGCAAAGAAATTTTTCTCTTAAGTCAATATTGCGGGGAAAAATTGGTTTTTATGACGATTAAATTTAATCAGCAGGACTAAATCAAACATCATCTTTTGTTGTTTTAATACAAGAAATCTGTTTATTAATAAACTTTTTGAGCCTTCATTGAACTAACTTTTTAAAAAAAATTACCGTAATCAGCGGCCTCAGGCGACTCCTTAGCTAGATAGTATAGTAGTTTTTGTTTTAATATTTTTATTCTTAAAAGTCCAATTTGTCCTGCTAAAATTGATTTGTTTCTCAAAAGTGTTCACATTTTTATGTTTCCTATAAATCCAGTTGTAGCATTTCAGATTTGAAAAACTCGACCTTCCTTAATGTAAAATTGTACAGATTTATGTACGGTGAACTCTGTATTCTGTACTCTGTACTCTGTACTCGACCTTCCTTAATGTAAATTGTACAGATTTATGTACGGTGAACTCTGTACTCTGTACTCTGTACTCTGTACTCGACCTTCCTTAATGTAAAATTGTACAGATTTATGTACGGTGAACTCTGTATTCTGTACTCTGTACTCTGTACTCTGTACTCGACCTTCCTTAATGTAAAATTGTACAGATTTATGTACGGTGTACTCTGTACTCTGTACTCTGTACTCTGTACTCTCTGTACTCGACCTTCCTTAATGTAAAATTGTACAGATTTATGTACGGTGAACTCTGCACTATGTACTCTGTACTCTGTACTCTGTACTCTGTACTCTGTACTCTGTACTCGACCTTCCTTAATGTAAAATTGTACAGATTTATGTACGGTGAACTCTGTACTAGCCAAAGACTTAACCAATTTTGATACATGTTGATTTTCAACAAACTACAACTGTATGAAAATACATATTTATAAATCATGTAACTATTTTTGTTAACTAACTATGTCCGAGTTATTTAAAATTAAAATGTTTAAAATAATTTCTTTTGCATAGCTTATATTCAATAAAAGATGGAACGATATAGAGATATATCACTCTAGACTAACCAAGGCGAGATGCATACAGTTTCTTCTTATTGATTAATTTCAATCGTGATTCAGTCTTAAGGTTAACAATCTTTAAAAGAAGTTTTCATCTATTAATTTTTTCATTTTAAACGTATCTTGTGGGAAAACAACTATAAAAGAGAAAGGGCATACAAAATTTATTTAATTGGTCCAATTGGGATCGAAAGTTACAGCTTCCTGAGATGAAAACAAAACTGTTAGATAAAAACGTATGCATACCCATCCCTATATGTATAAAGGACCTATATGTAATGTATAGAAGGAAGTGTATGTATGTATACCCATACATATATATGTATATATGACCTATATATAATGTATAGAAGGAAGTGTATGTATATAGGACCTATATGCAATGTATAGAAGGAAGTCTATGTATGTATACCCATCCCTATATGTAATGTACAGAAGGAAGTGTATGTATGTATACCCATCCCTATATGTATATTCGACCTATATGTAATGTATAGAAGGAAGTGTATGTATATGTACACCCATCCCTATATGTATTAAGGACCTATATGTAATGTATAGAAGGAAGTGTATGTATGTATGCCCATCCCTATAAGTATATAGGACCTATATGTAATGTATAGAAGGAAGTGTATGTATGTATACCCATCCCTATATGTATATAGGACCATACATATGTTATGTATAGAAGGAAGTCTATGTATGTATACCCATCCCTATAAGATATGAATACCCATCCCTATATGTATATAGGACCTATATGTAATGTATAGAAGGAAGTGTATGTATGTATACCCATCCCTATATGTATAAAGGACCATATATAGGTAATGTATAGAAGGAAGTGTATGTATGTATATCCATCCATATATGTATATAGGACCTATATATAATGTATAGAAGGAAGTGTATGTATGTATACCCATCCCTATATGTATAAAGGACCTATATGTAATGTATAGAAAGAACTCTATGTATGTATACCCATCTCTATATGTATACAGGACCTATATGTAAAGTATAGAAGGAAGTGTATGTATGTATACCCATCCCTATATGTATAAAGGACCTATATTTAATGTATAGAAGGAATTGTGTGTATGTATACCCATCCCTATATGTATATAGTACCTATATGTAATGTATAGAAGGAAGTGTATGTATATGTGTACCCATCCCTATATGTATATAGGACCTATATGTAATGTATAGAAGGAAGTGTGTGTATGTATACCCATCCCTATATGTAAATAGGACCTATATGGAATGTATAGAAGGAAGTGTATGTATATTTATACCCATCCCTATATGTATATAGGACCTATATGTAATGTATAGAAGGAAGTGTATGTATGTATACCCATCCCTATATGTATATACGACCTATATGTAATGTATAGAAGGAAGTGTATGTATATGTACACCCATCCCTATATGTATAAAAGACCTATATGTAATGTATAGAAGGACGTGTATGTATGTATGCCCATCCCTATATGTATAAAGGACCTATATGTAATGTATAGAAGGAAGTGTATGTATGTATACCCATCCCCATATGTATATAGGACCTATATGTAATGTATAGAAAGAAGTGTGTGTATGTATACCCATCCCTATGTGTATATAGGTCCTATATATAATGTATAGAAGGAAGTGTGTGTATGTATACCCATCCCTATATGTATATAGGACCTATATATAATGTATAGAAGGAAGTGTATGTATGTATACCCATCCCTATATGTATAAAAGACCTATATGTAATGTATAGAAGGACGTGTATGTATACCCATCCCTATATGTATATAGGACCTATATGTAATGTATAGAAGGAAGTGTGTGTATGTATACCCATCCCTATATGTATATAGGACCTACATATAATGTATAGAAGGAAGTCTATGTATGTATACCCATCCCTATATGTATATAGGACCTATATGTAATGTATAGAAGGAACTCTATGTATGTATACCCATCCCTATATGTAATGTATAGAAGGAAGTGTATGTATGTATACCCATCTCTATATGTATAAAGGACCTATATTTAATGTATAGAAGGAAGTGTTTGTATGTATACCCATCCATATATGTATATAGGACCTATATGTAATGTATAGAAGGAACTCTATGTATGTATACCCATCCCTATATGTATACAGGACCTATATGTAATGTATAGAAGGAAGTGTATGTATGTATACCCATCCCTATATGTATACAGGACCTATATGTAATGTATAGAAGGAAGTGTATGTATGTATACCCATACATATATATGTATATAGGACCTATATATAATGTATAGAAAGAAGTGTATGTATGTATACCCATCCATATATGTATATAGGACCTATATATAATGTATAGATGGAAGTGTATGTATGTATACCCATCCATGTATGTATACAGGACCTATATGTAATGTATAGAAGGAAGTGTATGTATGTATACCCATCCATATGTATATAGGACCTATATGTAATGTATAGAAGGAAGTGTATGTATATGTATACCCATCCCTATATGTATATAGGACCTATATGTAATGTATAGAAGGAAGCTATGTATGTATACCCGTCCCTATATCCATATAGGACTTGTATGGATAAAGAAGGAAGTATTCCCATGATTGTAAACTAAACCCTTGAATTAGAAACCTAGAATCACGAAGTGTCCCCCCTCCACTATTGTGCATGCCACGGTTAACTGGAGGTCCTGGTTAAAATTGTACTAAGTCTTAACTTTATGATATATTTTTACCCATAATATGAACATTTTTTGCATTTGCCACTTGCTACTTTTTTGTTGGCTCTTGTTTTTAAAATAGTTGTGCTCTCTTGCGCTATTTTTGACAGATTTTGAATAAAAGAACCGAATATGACTAAGGATATATTGGACATGCAGGATGCACTTTGTTGTAGTTAGTTTGACGTGATGCGCGTGAGGGAAGGTTTAAATGTGTCCAGGATAATAACTAGAGCACACGCACGTATCAGAGATATTTTTATTTTGTCAACCTGCCCGTTTTTTTATAAGTTATAAGGTTCATTAAAAGGACTGTAAGTGTAATTTCAAGTGATCCTCCATGCAAAGAGGGAAATGCCCAACTAGTTTTTTGTGTTTAGAGTTTGATGTACGCTAATCCTTTACTAATTGTATAGGCCATCAACTATACCGAGAGCGTACAGCATATTTGTTTATCATAAGTTGATTCTGGCCAACCTATAGTAAATCAATATTAGTAAAGAGTTGTAAGTGTACAGTACAGCTAACTGAGCACACAGGTAGAGA